AAGATATCCCATTATTCGCCGCGAAAACTGAAGATGGCTGGCCAACGTTTTCTGTGCTTGCTATCGCGCGCGCGGGCTGATGGACCGGTCACGGATACATGACTAACTCAAATACTACTTCATACCGGTAACCTAACTCTCGCATCAACCGTTCCAACGCTAACCTAACACACATAGTATATTTATCGAGCGGACTTATTGAAGGTGTGATGCCCACAAAAATTTATCTATTTGGTGACAGATATCATCGATGCCAAAAACTCTAACCCTAACCTAACCCTAACCCGAATCCAACCCAACCCTAATGACCTAATACTAATACAATACTAAGATATATAATGAATATAATTCCTAATACTAGTGCTGCCACGTCGCGTGTCCCTCCACGTCCGGGAATACATTACCCACGTGTAGCGCGACAAAACAGAAATTGCTCACAGGTATGACTCTGATTGGTCAATACACAACTGCACATAAACGCGTTCTAGAAACTCACAAACAGAGTGGAAAGAGAGTCTACGTCCTACAATTATCTATTTTACAACATCAAACGCAAAAACTCGAAAAAAAATATCCAAGGCTAAATTCATAAAGCAGACTTAACTATTTACAGTTAGCTGTGTGCATGTTGTTACAAAGTAAAAAAACAATGCAAAACCCAAAACAGGCCTAAGCTTATCGTTAATCGCTTATCAACAATCTCTTACAGTTTCCAACTTCTCTGTTTTAACTCGTTTGAGAAGCATTATGCAATAGTCAATAGTCGATTAACCCATTATATATGACCTAATCAGACCGTAGAAATCCTGTAATTAGGTCTGCTTGGCTCGTTTTCGGTCATGGGCCGCCACCCGCCGCTGCTCGTTAAGCCTATAACACCACACGACCCCAGATGCTGCTTGTGGGTGATGGGTGTGCCCGGAGATAAGTCAGTAAAAATCCAGCTAACATGCAAGCAGTGACACAACGCCTTTGGCTACTAACAGCTTATGCAGTTTGTGGCCGGGCGTCACGATTTATCGTCGCCGAGAGGAGGCGGTTTCAAAATACTAAATACCGCCAGTTTACTACTTCCTACTTTATCCGCACGCAAATAATTAATATAGTCGAATCATCCCGTGACGTAGGTGAAATCTTATAATGTAGAATAAAATGCCGATCGCGAAACCCCACCTTGAGCTCACGACATTCTGCAGCCAAGGATCCGCCCGAACGCAAACAGCCGCCACCTCGTGCGCGTTTCCATCCGAAATCCCCGCGCCTCAATAGCAAACCACCGGTTTGCTGGGTCTGCACAGTCCGCAGCGCTTATGCGCGACGTCAATTGCAAGTGGTGCTCTTCAACGAAGGCTTTTCGAACTAACACCGTATGGCTGAAATCAAATGCAAATGACTCGAATGGTAGATCTTTGCGGGCGTAGCGGTTAGGTGTTCGTCAGAAAAAGCGAATTTCCGAATTTATTAATCTATGTATTAAGAAACCTGAAGTTAACTCTGTAACAATGGCGTCCCCCATAGAATGGCGCGACGAGGCCTCTTCGAGCGATTATCCATTAGAATTGCAACAGCCAGCCTATCTAGACAGCGCAGCCTACGATTGATGTGTTTACAGACTGAGAATTGCTTCGAGTTCGGATAAAGTCAAGATCGCCAAGCGAATGCAATATGCCAATGGATATGCCTCTTGACCCTCGCCGCTGCCCGTGCGCGACGGCACGTCGGCGAGCACGGTGCTGAGCGTGGCATGCAAGTTTTACATGTGGGGCACATTCCAGTCCTCGCCTCCCTCCGCGCTCACACCGTGGAGTCGGCTCGGGAGTTGCGCCGCCTGGACTTTAATTTATTTAGTACATACATTTATTGAAACGCCGCAAGTACAGGCAGTTAGCGGCCCGCTATACGCATTCGCAGCGCGCGCGAAATGGTGAGGCCGCCTTCCTCGGTTCCGCGAATGCGTAAAGGCAGTATCCCGCGTCGCGGCGCCCAGTCCCACGGAAGGCGCGCTTAACCGCCTTCGGCGTCGGGGACAACGCATACTTTTGCGCAAGGCCGATCGTTGTATCCGGTGTCTCTGGTGAACATCTTATCTAAATGTTTAATTGGCATAGGAGGCGTAAAATCATATTATTGTTGTGGCACTGTATTTGCTGCGCTGCGCTATTGCCCAAACTAGGAAAGACAGTGTATTACGTATATGCATTTCTCCTAATGATAGAAGGTATTATGTTATATATATATATTAATATATATTATATGTATAGTATATTTATATTAATTATATAATTAAATATGTATATTTATATATATATCTTATAATCTATATATATTAATATATTATATATATTATATTAATATTTATTTTTATTTATATTAATTATATTAAAAGCTATGATTATATTTGAAATATACTATATAATTATATATATAGATTATGATAAATTTATATAAAATATATATATTAGTATATATTATATATATAATATATAGATTATATTATATGATATTATAGATATAATAGTTATATTAATTATACTTATATTCATATATATAGCAGATTCGGGTATTGCGTGCACTAGACTTAGCCTACTATTAAATATGCATAGTAAAATATGAACATGAAACATTTTATTAGTGTTTGGTCGGACTGACTAAAAAACAAAACCATTAAACGTATGACCTGAGGATCGTCCAAGTTGATAGTAATTTGTACACGTGGAATGACGTTGGTGTAGAATCGAAAAACCAGTAACATTCATTTGTATTGGCGATATCATACCGACTGGTAGACGAGTGAATCTTAGATGTTAGCAGGTGAATAGCATCGCGCTTGGTTTTAGGCGCACTGACTACACGAGTCCTTAGCCTGATGCGCAAATACAACAGCCAACAACAGAAACAGCAACTTCAAACACGCATACAGAATAATACGCGTGGCCATCATAATAAATACCACAATCCTACGTGTCCGCAAACGCGCGAGCGACATCGGAACGGCTAGACGTGTGAAACACACAGCGGCGGCGCTAGGACGCCGCGACCCCGCTCGATCCTGTATCGTACCACCTAGGGTGATTTGATTGACACACCCAGTCCCGCAAGCATAACAAAATTGATGACCGGCAAGCTGCAATAACAATTTATACATTTTCGTTTCACGACTAAAAACATCGGAGTCTATTCACATAGAAACTCACGTATGCAAAAAATAGCGTTTTAAAGGAAGCATACCCCTTTTCGTTAAATAGTCTAAGTTAATAGCGCAACTGAATGAGCACTGGCTATCACTACAAGAATAGAAACGTAAATTCAAGGACTTTCCCTAGCAATGCCTTTTAATATGCCAACAAAACTGGTTTTGAGCTAGCAGCGGAGTGGGTCATACATGCTCTAAAATTGCTATTTCGATCGCTATATAGTTATCGCAGATAGAATAAGAATCTATGGTCATTTTGACCATTTCATAATATTACCAATTTACACTACCATTAGACACTGCCATAAATTGACTCTTTGGAACATAACACAAGTATTAGGTTGACCATAATATTGAAGTATGAACTCAAACAATATACCGCAACAGCACATCCGCAGTAACATTAATGTTAGCGTTTCACTGGCTCCAGTACCACTTATCGTACTTGCTTCTCCTTGCCTGTAACAAAAACTCGTTCTATATTCGCAAGATAGGCAGCCGGGCATATAAGCCATACATGAATTGTCATATATTTAATATCGCTCTAGCCCCCTCTGAACACCAGACAGAAATCCGTATAACTGCGTTATTTAATGTTGATGCGTCTGGGTGCGCGCAGGAAGAGTACGGCAACTAAACGATC